TTTATATATATATATATATATATATATATATATATATATATATATATATAAGGAAAACATCCATACTTATCTCGACTGTCTGAGAGTGAGGTTGTGATAGAAAAATGTGGATGTACAATCTCCAGTTTTCACAAAAGTTTCTGAGCTGTCAAAGTCATCTGGCAGACTTTTACTGACAGCTAAATGAGCATATCTTAGTGCAGGTAACATGGGGCAAGAGTTCACATTGCTAATTACATATACTACTGACATTGTAACATTAACAAAGCTAGCTGAAAATCATCAAAGTTATTCTTTAATACTTTATGGCATATTCTTATTTAGATTGTAATTTATTGGTGTTTTTAGGCTGCTGAAGAGGAGAAGAAAAAACACTTGATCGGAGGTGAACTGGATCACAGACATAGCAGCACAGCTGGCTCGTCTGCTGGACATGACCATGACCACACCAAACCCCATGCACACAAACACGACCATGAACACACTTCAGGCCACCACCACACACATGAACATGGCAAGGGCCACGGACACATCCACTCTCATGATCATGACCACGCTCATGCCCATCATGCCAAAGCCCATGAGCATGGTCAGGATGAGTGGGAGCACCATCACCACCAGTACGGTCCCAAAAAGGGGGAGACCCATGAACACAACCATGAGCTGGTCCTGGACCACGAGCACAAACACAGACACCTCCATGAGCATGAGCATCACCACTACCACCACGATCATGCAAATCAAACCACAGTGAGGCGCCCTGATGGCATGGTCAATGTCCTTCCTCCCATGGATAAGACCATGACCCTTCCATCCTTCCCTGACAAGCCTGCTGCAGGACCAGAGCAGCCCTCCACCATCCCGTTCCACCCAGAACCCCAGATACCAGGACAAAGGGAACCCACCATCCATCCCTTCCCTGACACCATGTCCCCTGAGTGCCCTGCGCAGTCCAACATCCAAAACGGACTCCTCAAACAGGTCATCAGTGAGGATCCGCTCTTTAAACCCACTGTGTAGACACC